CTTCAAAAAAAAAAAAAAAAAAGTAGTGTGATGAGCTCCCTATAAAAATGGTCATGAGACAGTGATGGATAATTAAGGCCAGGCCTGGCACAGCCCAACTGCAACTGGGCTCACCTGAACCGTCCTAGCTCCACCTGGTTTCCTGAGTGTGCCGGGTGCTCGCTGTGCCTATGATCTGGGATGGCTGTGACAGGTGGACCCTAGAGCCCAGCCGGGACCCTGCTGGGGGCACCTCTCTCACTCTCCCATGGAGGAAACAAACTTTAACAAATAATCACCGCCCAGGGTTCCGGGCCCAAGGGCGAGAACTCTAAGGGACGCGCAGGGCCAGAGAAGGCTTCTCAGAGACAAGTCAGTTTAGCTGCCCCTGGGGAAAGGCAGCCAGGGTGAGCAAACCCAGGTGCGCAGTGAGGAGGCAGGAGGGCCCGTCCCAGGGGCGCAGTGAGAGGCAGGAGGAGCCGGCCAGGTCTGGGTGAGGCCAGCCTGCAGCAGCTGCAGCCAGGCAGAGGCGACAAGGCCCGGGCACAGGACACTGAACTGGGCTGGACGTCACCCTCCAGTCCATCACATTAAAAACTAACAAACCTACACTTAGAGCAATCCACAGTGTTATTCCACAAGGGAAGGGGGCGACGCCGCTAGAGGAAGAGAACCGCAACCGGCGGGCGCAGCGCCCGATTGGTTGCAGACAAACGCCCCTGGCTGCGCACTGGCTGGACCCCAGGCCGCCCTCGCCGCCCTGCAGCCACCGTGACTGGCCGCCCACTGAGGTCCGACAGCTGGCATCCCTGCAGTCACCAGGTGCGGGAGCTGGCTGGGACTGTGCGTCCTGGTCCTCCAGGCTCCCCGCCACCAGGGGTCAGTCTCCCTGTGGACTCTGGCGCGCGAGGCAGCCGCAAGCCCAGCAAGTCCGTTAGGCCGCCTGGGCGGGCCTCCCGCCAGCGACGGGGTGGGGAGACTGCAGCTACTCTGCTCCCCAGGAGCCGGCTCCATGGTCTGAGCTGTCACCTGCGGGGCAGCCCGTGATTCATCCACCTACCGGTAAGGCCACCACGTGGTCCGTGGTTAATGAGCAAGTTAATGACCTGAGGAGTCAGCGGTAGATGGGTTGATCAGATAATCCACCCGCTCATGGCCTGCCCTGCATCCGGTAACCAGGCCGCCATTAGGTCAGCCTCTTAGTGAGGCGTCCCTGTAAGGCACTCAGTCGTTCTTCAGTCATTCCGCGTGGGAGCCAGTCCCTCAGTGTCGCACGCTAGCGGGGGCGTCCCTGGAAAAGCAGGTCAGGCCTGTGATGTCAGTCCTTCCCTTAGTCAGGAAGCCCGGTAGTTGCGTGATGGTCTAACGCAATGTTCCGTGAGGCTGACGCACATGGGGAGGTTCTAGGTTCAAACCCAGAGGTCTCCCTGAGTCCTTGGTCTGGGGCTGGCTGAGGCTGGGGTGGATCATGGTGCTGAGACTTTGTTGAGGTGCTGCGTCTCTCTTGGAGAAAAGAAAGAAAGAAACTGAAAAGAGAGAGTGTCAGGAAAGACCTCTGCACCACAAAAAAAGAGAGAGAGTGTCAGGAAAGACCTCTGCACCACTTACTTCCACCTCGCTGAAGAAATACACGGAAGAAAGCGTGCTGAGGACGGTGACGCTCCTGGAGCCCTAGAACAACACACAAGGGCAAAGGAGACTGGAACGCGGTACGTGGGGGGTCTTCCGTGTACACGCTAAAGCCTGGCAGAGCAGAGCAAGACCTCAGAGCTGTAAAGCAAGACTCGCCTTTACATCTCCAGCCATGAAAGCCCTCAGGTCACAGAGGAAGACAAGAAAGGAAGACCAGGGGGCAAGTACGTGACTGAGTGATTCAGCGATCTGCTGGCAGAGCCTGGGCCAGGACCCACACCCCCAAGGGGTTGTAAGTTGGAGAAGGCGAAGGCAAGAAAGAGACGGTGTGAAGAGGAACCGGGTGTGGGTGTGAAGAAGAGAAGCACTTTGTGGCCTGGAAGTCTGGGCAGCACCTTATTGTGAGAAGGAAACACGTATTAGATTTTGTGAAGGAAAAGGGGCAGCTGGGTTTGCCATGTGGAGGATGAGGGCGGGGGCAGGGCCCACTCAGAGGGTTCCCGTGACACACACTGAAATACAGAACAGGAAAGCAGGGAGCTTAGATTAAGGCGCGAGAGGTGGTCACGAGTGGTCCCCAGATTAAATGCTGATGGAAACCGGGTGACTTATTAAAGAGTAACTAACATCTGTGGGGTTCTTGTCATCCATAGTAAGGTTCACTTGATCCGAACAGCAACCCTGAGAAAGGAATGCTGTTCTCATCCTCGTTTTAAATGGAATCGTACGCGTATAAACAGCTCTTACATAAATGACAGTCTGACTCGAACTTCATGAACCATGTCAGACATATAGAAAGGAGTGAAAACGGGGTAACAGGAGCATACACCTGCCTCCCAGCTTAGCATTGAAACCATTACCCCCGGCATACGCTCACCAACTACGTCTCCTACTCTCAAAGCTAGAGACAACTGCCATCCTGATTTGGCCTTTATCTCAGTGTCAGGAGGAATCTAACCTGCCGGGGTCCAGCCTCGGCGTGGGTGGGTTATCTCGACGAAGGCGGCGAAGGTGAACAGAAGACAGAGGCCTCGATGCCTTTCATGCACGTCCTATGCCGGACACCCCTCAGAGATCGCTCTCTGAGGAGTGACGACTGCTAGGAATCATCGTGCGTTTTTATTGAAAACGTGTTACATGCAAGTAAAGGGAGAGGGGCTAGAGTTTTAATTAACAGCTCATAAAGTTTTTAACAATAAAGAACAAAGATTCTATTCAGGGTTGGATTAAAGGTGGGTCTAGTGTAATTCCTATTTAGGGGTGGATTAAGGGTGGGTCTAGTGCAGTTCCTCAATTGTAGGTGGGTCTCCATGGAATGCAGTTTCGGGAAAGCGGTTCCGGTAAGCAGAGATGATTATCAGCTGATGCGGTGCAGCAGCCATCTTGTGATTACCGGGAATGGTGCTGAGAAAAGAAAATCTCAAGAATAGATATTAGTTCTTATGGATCTTAATAAAGAATGATACTTACACAGTTTTGTAGGGATTTAAAACTTAATTTGAGGAATCCTAATATATTTATCTATTTCACTTGGAGAGGGCAGAGGTGTCCTGGGCCAGTTTTGGCCTTATCCTATTTTACATAAAGAAAGGAAGAATTTAAGGGCCTTTT